ATGCAAATCCAGGAAGCACAGAGAGTTCCAAACCAGATGGATGCAAAGAGGCCAACTCCAAGACACGTAATTAAAATGCCAAATGTTAAAGAGAGAATCTTAAAAGCAGCAAGAGAAAATGCCACGCTCTCTTCCAACCATGTTTTTTGACAAGGTCTGAACATGGAAAGAAGGCATTCAAGGAATCCATCTTCCTGGAAGAGAGTGTGGCATACAAAGGGGGGGTGGTAATTTTCTGAGGATTGCTTTTAATAATTTCCTTGCTAGTATTAATCATGGTCTTACTTTGTACCCTGATTCCTATAAGAACAGGCCATGAGAAGAAAGAGGCTCAAAAAGAGTCAATGATTGATTTTGAGGGAAATTCTGAAGGGACAACTAGTTCTCCATAGACTATTGCATCATGCCCAGATTGTTTTAAATAAAGTGTTTATAAACCTGAGTAAGAAATTATCCCCGATTGTTCCCATAAAAGAATTCATAAATCAGTTACAATAGGTTGAATTATTGGCGGACTTTCCCATGCTTGTTCCTTACCCATAGATACAAAGAGTCTTTCAAGAAAACAAGAAAAAACTATATAGACCCTTACCCACAGCCCAGGGATACCCCTGGGTAGCATATTAAATTATTGGCAAATTATGGTATCCTCCAAAAGGAGCTAATGGTCTCCAGAGGGTTCCAGATCTCCCATTGCCTTATACAGGAGCATATAATGAGGGTGACATTAGAATGGTCAATAAGGATGAAGTCCAAGTGCCTTATAATAGTCTAAATTTCATGGAAAGGCTAGCTCGAAGCAGACCTCCCTGGTATTTATTAATTAAGAAATAAAAAGAGTTTATTGTAGCTGAATTTCCTGTTTATCTCTCCTTATATGTTTGTTTTGGAGATTAAAGGTAGTGGGATTGTTAGATATCTGTATTTCAGGTTTATTGATTTGCATAATTCCAATGAAGTTGTATAAAATAATTTCTTGACCAGAGAATAAAATCCCCTCTAATGAAATAGCCCCTGAATGTCTAAAAGTTGTTGGAGTAACAGCCCTGCCTTTACCTTGAATAGGAATATATATCAAGTAGAATTAGACAGGCAAAGAAATAAGAAAAGCTGGTTAACTATTATAAATTAAGCACGTAGAAACAGTTACCAGGAAGTTAAAGTCCATGGTACATAGAGAAATATTTTAGACAGAAAAGGTAAATAGGTAAGTTAGACATCACAAAGGCCTTATAATAAATTTCCTATAACCTCTATTCAATTTAGCGTATCCTTTTGCCCCATGACAAATTCTGAGAACTTTAATAAACAATAAGACATTCAAATTCTGTACGTACAGCTATTTCTAATTGTCTGATTTATGGCTCTCCTGGTTAAAATAATCTTTGTTTAAAATAACTGAATCTATGGGAATTTTTGTATTTTTCCTGGTTACCTTTGTATTAATTTTTTTTCTGCTTTACCTAATCGCCAAATGTCAATCACTGCTAAAAATGAAAGTATAAAAACCTGCTTGTACTTGCAATAAACGGAACAGAGCATCACTGTCCTCTGAGGCGTGTTGTCATCTGTCTTCCATCGCCGACGCCTTACCCACCTTTCAGGAAACCCTGGACCTAGCTGCGGCTGGACCGCGGCAAGAAAAGAAGTTAGTTATCTACAGGGGAGTTCCCATAAGACTGTCAGCTGATTTCTCAAAAGAAACTTTATAGGCTAGGAGGGATTGGCAGGACATATTCAAAGTGAGGAAAAGCAAGGACCTACAACCTTGATTATTCTATCCAGCAAAACTATCATTCAGAATGGAAGGGCAGATAAAGTGCTTCCCAGAAAAGGTAAAGCTAAAGGAGTTCATTGTCACCAAGCCATTAATACATAAAATGCTAAAGGGACTTATTTAAGAAAAAGAAGAAGGTCAAAATCATGCATATTAAAATGGCAACAAATTCACAACTATCAACAAACAAATCTAAAAAAACAAACTAAGCAAACAATCAGAACAGGAACAGAATCATAGACATGAAGATAATTTGGAGGGTTATCAGCTGGGAGAGGGAAGGGGGAGAATGGGGGAGAAGGTTCAGGGATTAAGAAGCATAGTTGGTGGGTACAAAATAGACAGGGGGATGTAAAGAAAAGTATAGGAAGTAGAAAAGTCAAAGAACGTATGTGCATCAGCCATGGACATGAACTAAGTGGGGTGGGGGGAGATTGCTGGAAGGTGAGGGGTACTAGGCAGAGGTGGGCAAAGGGAAAAATTGGGACAACTGCACTAGCATAATCAATAAAATATATTTAAAAAAGTAAAAAAGAAATAATGTCACTCGGAGATGGAGACAGATGTGGCACCACAAGTAAATCCTGTGTTCTTTTCTGTTTCTTAGCTTCTCCTCAGGGAGAAAATCTGTGGGTCACTTTTGCAGAGAGTGAGCTGGCGAAACCCTCCCACTTAGCACTGTGTGTGACCACACAGCCCCCAAGGAGGCTACATGCTGTCACAGGGCAGGTCCCTTGGAGCCAAGCACGTCATGGTTCATGTTTTAAAGTCAGGAGAAGAAGATTGAGAAGGGGGAAGCTGGACAGCTGAGACAAAAATTAGAGAAATAGCCATGAGTATCAAGAGAGAAGTGGAGGGAAGAGAGAAAGAGAGAAGTGGACTCAAAACTCTGACATCCATGCATCTCTAAATCTCATGTTTACATCTCTGTCCAGGCCTTTCCTTTGAACTCTGGACTGTGTGTCTAACTGCCCACTCACATTTTTCTTTAGATGAAAACAAACACCTCACAGTTAACATGTCCAAAGTGAACTCCTGAATTTCCCCCACAGCTCTTTCTCCATCTCACCTGAGCACCATTATTTTTCCAGATACTCAGGTCACCAACATGTGGAGTCTTGCTCTTCCACCCAAATCCTATGCATCAGAAATCCTGTGGCTCCCCTTCAGCATGCATCCAAGTCTCCGTCTTTCCCCTGTCTCTACTGCCCTGGTACAAGTCACTTCTTTGTGTTTGTGTGAATGCTCTACCTGCTTCTTTCTATGTCCTGTTGCAGTCTATTCTCAACTAAATGCTATGGTATTTTAAACCTTATGTCACTTATTTCTTCAAAACCTTGCAATAGAAATCTTTTCACACAGAGAAAAAGCTAAAATAATCACACAAAGCAGAAAGAATCTACTGCTGTGGACTTTACACATGCTGTTCCCTGACAGGAAGGCTCCTCCCCCAGATAACATCATGGCTCACTCCAAACTTTCTTTTAATTTTGGCTTGAAATTCCCCTTCGCAGTGATGCCCACCCGGACTACACTGTTTAACCTACATGCCAACTTACAGATCCCCTAACTCTCTTATTTAAAATATTTCCATTTCTCCCTAAAACTTAACAATTTCTAATATTCTGTGTAATTTACTTATGTCATTATTCTATATAATTTACTATGTTTATTGTTAACTGTCATTTATCTATTGGGATATAAGCTCCCTGAGGGCAGTTGCCTTGTTTCTTTTATTTACCAACACACCCCAAGTTTCTATGATGTTTCGGTACATTGGAGGTGTCTAATAAATGTTTATTATATGTATGAACTGGACTGTCAAACTCCTCTTTGAGCCTCTGAAGCTTATTTTAAGTGGGAAAACTGTGTAAATGATGTCCGGAACTGAATTTCCCAACTAGATGACTTGGTAAAAAACAAATGCATCTTCTGCATGTGCAGAAAGCAGAAGAGCCCAGGAACAGAGAACCACAAACCCTCTCCCCCAACACCCAACCTTTCCCGCACTCTCTGGTCCAAGTAGTGGAAATGAGTTCTAAGATCAAACTGTTTGAGTTCAAATAATGGCTCTACCATTTACCATTGAGTGACCTTGAACCTCTCTGCAGTTTTGTTTCCTCCATAATTAGGGGTGACAAGGTATTCTACCTTGGATATAATGATCACATGAGATAAGAGACAAGAATCTCTAACAGTATCTGCACATAGTCAGTGTTCAAGAAATTGATAAGTTATTACTCATTTTACTTCCTGGGGCTTGATGTTTCAATTGATATTATAGGATATAGATATATAGATATAAGTGCAGATGTATTAGATATAAATATAGAGATCATACAGGCAGAATTGTATGTATCTTTTATGCCCTCTTTTTTCTTCCACCCACAACCATCATAGAAGAGGGACCCCAACATTATAATTCACAAAATTCTTCTCGTTTTATTAAGGGAGAAGCTTGCTTGTCTTACAAGTTTGGGGGAGGGTAAGGAGCACATTTAGAGAAGAAAAGGAGAGAGGGTGTCTAAGAGACAGAGGGAACTAAACATCTGTTCAATCATTTCATATGGACTGAGAAGGATTTGAAGAGAACAAAAGGGAAAGTCTTTTAAAAATCCCAGTTGTGGGTGTGTGTGCACTCCCTCAAACATTCTTGTACACACACACAGGATACAAGCATCACAAATACACATATAGAAGTGTGGCCTGATGGGAGATGACTAGTCTTTAGTTTAGTTCTCTGTGTTTTCTGATTTTTCCATGAGTCAGCCTCCACTGAGAAGCCGTATCATGCAGTTAAAGAAGCAGGCTCTGGAGCTGCTCGGCCTGGACTCGAATCCCAGCTGAACCTCTGCCTCACACAGATGACACTGGGCAAGTTACTCTCTTGCCCAGTCTCAGTCTCCTCATCTGCAAATTAGGGATGATAGTCATAGTTCTCACACAGGGATGTTGTGCAGATTAGGGCATTTAATATACCCACAGAGCTGTCACTGTTGTGGTTTGAAGCATTATCTGTTTTGATGTCTCTGGTACCCAGGTTCAGGCATGGACTCACAGAGAAAAACAACGGATCCAGATTTCATGCTCTCAGATATTGCACTCTTCTTGGCCTTCTGTGACAGCACTGGGTGATGCTCCGTTTTCCTGGCCATTCTAAATTTTCAGGGCAGGAAAAGGTCCAGGGGGAGGAAGAGGAAAATCTACCCCAAGGCATGCTCACCTGTGAAGCCCAGCAGAAGAGTCAGCAGCAGGCAAGGAGGAGGCCAGGACCAGGAAGCAGGGACAGGCATCCTGGAGGCCCGAAGAGCCTGCTCTGTCCTAATGTGTGCTGGTAGAGCTGGACTCTGCTCTGTGGGAGGGGAGAGGCCCCACTTCCTGTGATGTAAGAGGAAGTCCCCAGGATGGGGTGCAATGGCTGTGAGACAGTAGCCCACTTCCAGAATAGAGACAGATTCTGGTTCCAGATTGTGAAATAGAATCAGGCAGAGAAGGCAAATACAGGGTGAGGAGTTACTCATCTTCATTCTCAGAGAGACTTGGACAGGCCTACAGGATATAGCACTTTCCTCTGCCTGGGGCCTCTGCTCTCCACTGGGCCCCTCACCCCATCTCAGATCTTCCTGGTGATGCCCCACTTGGGGGCCCTGGACAAAAAGGGGCTGTAGTTGTAGGCTGTGTTCCAAACTTTCAAGCCCAGGCTCCCAGGATATAGCCAGCTATGGCCTCATTTCTTCATCCTGACCAACAGCTGCTCAGGAGAAGGAAGGAAGAGGGTCCACCAGAGCCTGCTCAATGTTAGCATGGAAGCAGGTCTGCTCCTGAATGACTCCCTCTCCCAACCATTTGTGGATGGGACAAATAAAAACCCAAACACACAGTGCAGTATGGACCTCACAACTTGTATGGGTTCAAGCTAACAAAATGTCCAATAACAAGCAAATGGCTAAACAAACTGGTGCTTCCAGACAAAGAAATACTATTTAGCAGTAAAAAGAAATGGCTTATTTACATGGACTACAACTTTAAGTTTCTTGAACACATTATCCTAAGTGAACTAAGGCAATTTCAAAATGTCATGTACCATATGATTTCCGGTATATTACACACTTGAAACTATAGAGCGGAGAGCAGACTGGCACTTGCAGATTAGGTGTGGTATGATGGGGATGGGGTCACTGTAAAGGGTGAGTATAGGGAGACCTCTGTCGTCATGGAATAATTGCTCTGCATCCTGGTCATGATGGTGGTGACACAAACATACACCTGAGGGATCGACACAGCAAAGCAGGAAATGTTACAAGATTCAGCTGTACACATCAACCTCAAGTCATTATAATGGAGACATTGACTATTCAGTTATCCAGAATTAGAATATAATGGTAGTAGGGTGATGAGGAGTAGAAAGGGTGTGTGTGCGGCATGAGGTTAGGAGTAACAGAACTTTATGTCCCATCTTCCTGAGTGGGAAATCCATAATGATGCCTAAGAGTGAGATATCCAGAAGTGGCATTTTAAGCATGCTATATGAAGTATGGGGAAGGGGGAGGGGAAATCCCCACACATAAATAATCAGCTAAAAGAGTTGCACATAGTTGCCTCTGAGAGGTAGAAAATGGTGGGAGGGAGGAAGACAGACCTCCATTTTTTTTTTTTTAAGAAATTTATTTTTTAGTACACATATAATTTTTTTAAAGATTTTATTTATTTATTTTTAGAGAGGGAAAGGAGGGAGAGGGGAGAGAGAGAGAGAGAGAGAGAGAGAGAGAGAGAGAGAGAGAGAGAGAGAGAGAGAGACATCAGTGTGTGGTTGCTGGGGGTTCTGGCCTGCAACCCAGGAATGTACCCTGGCTGGGAATCGAACCTGGGACACTTTGGTTCCCAGCCCGCGCTCAATCCACTGAGCTATGCCAGCCAGGGCGACAGACCTCCATTTTTATATGCAGAACTTACAGAACTTTTTTACTCTTTAAACATGTGCACATGTAACTTCGATAAAGGTAGAGACCAATTCCAGATCATTAATGTAAGTGTGGTAAGTAAAAAGAATATCCATACTATTAGCAGTAATAAAGGGTTCATAAACTTGGTAGATATAAAAGCAATGATCAAAATCAATTACCATTCTAATCCATAGTAAAAAAAACACTGTAATCAGTAATGACAACTTTTAAAGATTTCATGACCTAGGAAGTGTAAAGATAGTTCCAGTTAGAGATGCATGATTAAGGAATGGAAGCATGTAAAATTGTGAATTAAAAGTCATAAAACATCATAAAACTTAAATTTCATATCCATGACTAGAAAACTCAATATTGAAAAGATATTAATTTGCCTGAATTCCTATATAAATATAATGCAATCAAATGATAATTCTAATATGGCTTTTCATGAAATGCAACGAAGTGATTTTTAAATACTTTTGGGCCAAGAAAGCACACCATTTTGAACAATAAGAAAAGGTAAGAAGATTTTCCCAAAAGAGTCATAAAAACTGATTATAAAACTGTACTAAGTAAGGCAGAGTAGTTCTGACAAGAGACAAGTAGCTCAGTGGAGCAGAGAGCTCATGCAAAGAATCACATGTGCATGGAAACTTGGTGTTTGGCAAAGGTGGCTGTGTGGACCAGTGAGTGCTGGGTAATTTATCCCTGTGGAAGAAAAAGAGATCCCCACCACCTATTACACACACATTCACACTTCCATATGCACACTCGGAAAAGATAGCTAGGTAAAAGACATAACTAGAAAGAGCAAAATCTGATCAATAACTGAAAGCAGTTATTAGTATAACCAAAGCTCCAAAATGACACCAATGCTGCTTCTTTGTGAGCACATTAGAGGAACAAGGACTCTGCCATCTGAGCCAAAGAAGGAAAGATAAGAATGTTTGTTTAAAGTTGTACTAGCAAAGCATTAGATAAAATTTAAACATCTGGAATGAGAAGAATCAATGAATTTTAGTATATTGTTATAATAGGAAGCAATACAGCAGTACCACATTCATAAAATGAAGCTACATATAGCAACATGAATAAATTACACAAACTGTGTTAAGCATAAAAAATAAAATGAAGTCCCAGAATGATATATACAGTATAATAGTTTATAAAAAAATTAAAACATACAAAGTAATATTAAATATGGCTTAAGTATTAATGCATATGTTATAAAAGAATAAACTTAATATTTTCAAAGAGATCTATGGATATTTTTAATAGTATTCTTTATATATTTCAGACTAGAAAAATATTTATTTGACTAAGTGATTGCAAATACCTATGTGTTAAAATGAAATTGTACTTGCAAAAGCTCTGGAGAAGGGTAAAATCTGCTCTGATTGTTAAGGGTTGTTAATAATCAGGGAACAATGGGAAACATGATTTTGTGATCTGCTTGGTTCTCTTTTGAATGGGGCAGAGCAAGTTTGAAGCTCAATGCATAGGATCCACACATCCCTGAGTTCTCTTGACCAAAGCTCATCTTTGATCTAAATGTCGGATAGAAGAAACATCAGGAGAGTGTGTGGAGGGAGCATGTCCTTGGTGCAGGTGGGGCTGGCAGAGTGACAGGCAGCCATGTGGGGTAACCTGCACATCCTTGCAGCTTCTCTCCACTTACTTGAGCCCATTGTAGAAGGCAGGAGGCAATGCATCACAGGGTGTGCTGGAGCTGGAGGGAAAATCATTCATTCATTCGTATATTTTTTAATATATATTTTATTGTTTATGCTGTCACAGTTGTCCCATTTTCCCCACTTTGTTCCTCTGCGCCCTGCACATCCCTTCCCATCTGCATTCTCTCCCCGACTTAGTTCATGTCCATGGGTCATACATTTAATTTCTTTGGCTTCTGCATTTCCTATACTGTTCTTAACTTCCCCCTATTTCCTACCTACCATTTATGCTACTTATTCTCTGTACCTTTCCCCTGCTTTTCCTCCCCTGCCCTTCCCCACTGACAATCCTCCATGTGATCTTCATTTCTGTGATTCTATTCCTGTTCTAGTTGTTTGCTTAGTTCGTTTTTTTGTTTTTTTTTTTTTAGGTTTGGTGGTTGATAGTTGTGAGTTTGTTGTCATTTTACTGTTCATATTTTTGATCTTCTTCTTTTTCTTAGATAAGTCTTGTTAACATTTCATATAATAAGGGCGTGGTGATGATGAACTCCTTTAACTTGGCCTTATCTGGGAAGCACTTTATCTGCCTTTCCATTCTAAATGATAGCTGGATAGAGTAATTAGGATGTAGGTCCTTGCCTTTCAAGACAGCCCCTTCTTGCCTGCAAGGTTTCTTTTGAGAAATCAGCTGATAGGCTTATGGGAACTCCTTTGTAGGTAACTGTCTCCTTTTCTCTAGCTGCTTTGAAGATTTCCTTATCTTTAATCACAGGTAATGTAATTATGATGTGCCTTGGTGTGTGCTTCTTTGGGACTCTCTGAGCTTCCTGGACTTCCTGGAAGTCTATTTCCTTTGCCAGTTTGGGGAAGTTCTCCTTCATAATTTTTTCAAATAAGTTTTCAATTTGCTGCTCTTTCTTGTCTCCTTCTGGCACCCCTATGATCTCGATGTTGGAATGTTTAAAGTTGTCCTCGAGGTTCCTAAGCCTCTCCTCATTTTTTTGAATTCTTGTTTCTTCATTCTGTTCTGATTGGATGTTTCTTTCTTCCTTCTCATCCAAACCATTGATTTAAGTCCCAGTTTCCTTTCCATCACTGTTGGTTCCCTGTACATTTTCCTTTATTTTAGTTTTCATAGCCATCACTTTTTCCTCTGTCAACCAATTGTGTGAGCATCCTGATTGTGTGACCATACTCAACGAGTTCTGTGAGCATCCTGATTACCAGTGTTTTGAACTGTGCATCTCATAGGTTGGCTATCTCTTTGTCACGTAGTCATATTTTTTTCTGGGGCTTTGATCTGTTCTTTCTTTCATTTGGGACATTCTTTTTTTTTTTTTTTAATCTCAGTGAGTTTGTTACATAGTAACGCGGAGCCTTAGGTATTAGCCAGGGTGGGGTAATCCACCTGGCTGCGTTGTTGGGGAGGGGCCCGACAGGGAACACTGGCACTTGTTCAGTTCTCTGCCAGCTTTCAGTCACTTCCATCACTATTCACAAGCAAATTGGGCCCTTCTGGTGCTGATTCCTGGGTGGGTGGGTTTGTGTATGTTCTAGGACCCTGTTGGTCTCTCCAACAAAATCTCCTGTGAGGCTGGGAGTTTCTCCCACTGCCTCAAGCCCCACAGATTTTTTCAATCAGAGGTTCTGAGGCTTTATTTACCCACATTGGAACCCTGGGTTGTGTGGTCTGTCTC